TATAACTAATTAATTCAATTTTCGTTTACTACTACTAAAATTAATTTTGGTTGATGTAACCTTCTTATTATAAGGTAACACCATCATTCATGATTTGGCACCCATCCATGTGTTGCTGTTGTAGTTGTATCATTCTCGATTAAATTTAAAATTTTTAAATTCAAGTGGAAGACGAGGGCTTGACAGCAAATCAACAATGTAGGCACCATCAAGTTTGGTAATAATATGGGTATTTTTTCCAGAAAAAAAAAAAAATGCGTATTTTCAATTTTTAAATTTTTTTTAAAAAATTGCATACACATATGAGGATTTTGCATTGCATCCGTGAGTATATAATCTTATTTACCAAAAAAATATATATTTAAAAAATTTATAATTTATCAATGACATATTGATTTGAATAAAAAATTTAAATTTTCTTAAATAAATTTTGATTTTAAATTTTATAAATAAAAAAATATATATTAAAAGAATATATTGAGACTTAAAAAAATAAAATTATAATTTAATTAGAAAGAAAATTTATTTTTTTATTTTTTTAATTAAGATTAGGTACTTTAAAAAGTTAATGAAAAAAATTTTTTAATAAATTTTTAATTTTGACATAAATACTTTACTCTAATCAAATAAAAAAATTAATTTCAACAAGATTTTTTTCTTATATATTTAGATGATTCATATAAAAAAAAATAACTCACCTCTTTTTCTAAATTTCTCCCATCCCACCCGACTGAAGGTTGAAATTTAAGAATTAATTTCAGTTTTCAACAAGCTGATTGATTGTTACGATGAGTGCAAAAAAAAAAAAAACGTGAGTATATGAACATGGGCCCGTGTGGTAGCCTCCTCCGCTAATTGCCACCTCAACGCGTTTTCTGGGACATGGTGAGTTGTCCTTTCCTCCGTCTTTATTCCGATTTTCTAGGTTTTGGTTTAACAAATTTGAAAAAGACAACATTGAGTACTCATCAACGCAGTCTCATGTCGAAATTTGGGTTGTCGTTGTCCTGGCTGTCTTGCAATTGCAGACGCCACGTGATTACCTGTGTGTAGGCCCAACCAGGTGTTTTGTTTTGAGTGTAAACAAGAGTTCCACTGGGCAAAGGGCCCATTAGCCCATGAAATGACCTGACCCAGACCATCCAGTAACACTTTTAGATGCATTTGAAATTGCTGAAAAAGAATTGTGATTGTGAGTTTTTATTTGTTTATCTTTATATTGGCTCAAATCAAATTCAGTTTACCACAAGGCATATTTGGTATGCAATTCTGGGGCCAAACTACTGCCCTAGAAGATGGCAGATGGCTTGTCCTAGGATACTATTAGTCGATTAACATCGTGTTTGGTTAAGCACGGAAACTTTTCTTTATTTGGATTTTTTAGAGTTAGTTTGATATTCTTATATATCAATATTATAATAAAATAAAAGTAACTTTTACATTTTATCAAATATTCTCCTTGACATAATTTTTTATAATTAAACTTCTTTTAAAAAAAATTTTAAATTGCTCTATGAAAGATAATTCTCTCCATATTACTTAACTCACTTTATTTATATCATCATGTAATTTTAAATTTAAATTTTTTAATCTATATATTATATAAAATGCTACCCTATGCATTTAATAGGCTATGCATTTAACTAATTCAAGAAAAAAAAAGAAAAAGTGCTTGAAATTTAAAAAATAAAAATTATAAATGATAATAAAAGTGGTAGATGAAGAAGCAAATGAATGATCTAAGCCTTCTATTGATCTTGGGCTAAGTTGGGAGGCCCCACAGCCTGCTTGTCTCAACTATGGGTTTAATGGGCTCATGGTCCTACCATTAGTATTAAAAAGGTGTAAGGTTGTAGTTGGACTTGGTCATGATCTCTTTTCCAAAGTTCCCACAGAAGAAAACTCATTGTCATTACAAGTCTTGAGAAGAAGATAAAATGGATATGTATATCAACCTTTTGATGAGTTGTACATCACCTTACACATTGATTTGTAGTTACTAATACCATGTTCTCAATCAAGAAAATAGGAAGAAAAGCCTTTTAAAGCAATTTATAAATTGATCAAACTATGTAGTGATACAATAAATAAAAAGTCATCATCAACTTCATTCAATCAAAACAAGAGTTTCTTTTCCAAATTTCAACAGCACATCACAGACATTTAAAAGAAAAAAACAAAACAAAAAAGAAACAAAACAAAACAATTGACAATGAATAAAAATAAAAATAAGGATTTCATCTCTCGAAAAATAAGGAAACCTCACCCAATTACCAGCTCTTGACACTATACATCATTTTCTATGTTACATAATGTGCACTGCATGTGTTGAAATGCTACCCTATGCATTTAATAGGGTATGCATTGAACTAATTCAAGAAAAAAAAGAGAGAGAGAGAGAGAAAGTGCTTGAAATTTAAAAAATAAAAATTGTAAATGGTAATGAAAGTGGTAGATGACGAAGCAAATGAATGAAAATTATAAATGATAAAAGTAAATGATGAATGAATGTGATAGATGAAGAGATAAAGTTAGCTTAACATGAAAGACTATAGGTCTAAATCTATCTTTCTATATTTTATATAAAATACTACTCTATGCATTTAATAGGGTATGCATGTAACTAATTCAAGAAAAAAAAAAGACAAAGTGCTTGAAATTTAAAAAATGAAAATTGTAAATGATAATAAAAGTGATAGATGAAGAGGCAAATGAGTGAAAATTATAAATGATAAAAATAATTAATGAATGAATGTGGTAGGCGAAGAGGCAAAA